TGAATGGATTGTTGCCGTATGAATTATGATTTATCGAGAAGATTTCATTTATGGAGCTATTGTAATTGATTTACAATTGATTGATTTCATTGTAATATTTGTTTTCAATTCTAGGTTGATTTTATTGAGTTGATCTCGATTGTTTATGTGACAATTTCCCTGCTGAGAGTATAATTGACTGAAGCTCGTCTATAGATGGAGATAATCGTTTTGAAGGCATCGTGTCGTCATATTGAACCGTCGTCGCCAGATGCCAGTAGTGTCATTTAATATTGAATATATTGAATGTCGATTAAATGTTGACTAATTGGATTGACTGATTCCAGATTAGTACATTCTGGCACGATCCCTTATTAAATTAATTTTGTTATTGTTGCTATTAATGACACAGTTCTATGATGTAGACAGTGATATAGATACAACGAATTGACTAACCGATTATGTCGATATTTATTTTTTTATTATTTTATTTTAATGTACTTAATTTTTAAATTTTATTTATTGAATACACTGCTACGATGGATAGATATTGATTGGAAGCACTTATGATTGATTGCTGAGGCGTATTGGATTTTATCATAGTTTTTTACGCTGTATGATTATTGCTATTTATTTTCGTACGTGCATTGACTACGATTTGATTTCCGCTGTACAGACTTGATTCATGACTATGGTTCGTCATCTGCATAGACTCATTGCCATGATTACTGTTTGATTGAACGCATATTGATGCATCGCCGTGCTTTTGATTTCAGTTGTAGGCTTTGGTGACCTGGGCTTTGTAAATCTCATTATATGTGGTTATTAATTTAGTCTGAGCAAGCAACTGGAATGGGTTCGTCAGAAATGATCATGTCAGACGAATCCTTTCACTATTGATATCTGGGGCTTCACACTTACCCTTAAAGTTTATTCGTCTATCCTACTTTACATAAAAAACTAAATTATATATATTTAGACTTCGTTCTAAATAGCCTTTTTAATGTTTATTTTATAGACCGCAATCATGATTTATATTTTATTATTATTTTTTGTAGCTTTTAATAAAAAATTTGTACTAGAAAACTGCTTTCTATAATAACTTTAAAAAGTTATTTTTTCTACAACAACTTTACAAAATAGTAAGAAAATTATCCCAAACGAAACTTTAAACTCACTTAGCTAGAGTCTATCATTATTTCTCCGTCTAGAGGATGTAAGACTAGTTATCAAGCATCTTAATCTTTTAGGGTTATGCTCTAACTCTCCAAGTCCCATACCATTTAGAGCCACTTAGTAATACATGAAAATTTAAAAAATAAAGATATAATGTTAATATTTGATCAATTACATATATCATGTGACATAAAAAAATCAAAAATCTATTTTTTATTTCATACCAGAATGCAAATAAAATAAAATCAGAAATAGAAGATAAACCCTACATTTTTACCTAATCAACAAGAACAAAACATAGAAAGGACAAAACACTGTTCCTAAGCACCTAATTACCAAATATTATAACTCTCCAATCAGACCTAAAAATGAACAAGCAAACCACGAACTCCAAATATTTCAATCACCAACCGCAAATTTCGCTAGACGGCGCATTTCCGCAGTAACGTCCGGCACATCCAAATCTGCTGTTGCCTCTGTGTAGCCTCCTATGAACCGGACCCCTCACCTATGTCTTCAATCAATCAAAACCCCTACTAGGCTACTACTACTTTTTTTTTTTAATAATTAAATAAAAGCCCTTTCAATCGCAACACTCAAGGCTATCTCAACGGCTACACACTTCTTCGCTCAAAACCAAAGCAGAGCTGGCCAACGGAACCTGACAGTCTGTGTGCTCTATAACCTCTCTCCCCCTCTTCGCTTTGCGTTCCTTTCCTTTCCCTCTATAAAGTTCTCTTCTTTCGCCTTCACCTTGCCAAAAATCTAATTCCAAAACCCTAATATCTCTCATCGCTTAAGCAATGGCGGATGAAGATACCGCGCCGGCGAAAGAAGTCGTAGTCACCGAGACAGTGGCGCCTCCTCTGGCGCCGGTTAAGGAGTCCAACCTCGAGCCCGAAGATAATGCGAAGAAGTTTAATCAAGAAACGCCATCGCCCGAGGACGGGAAGAAGAGCCTCTCAGGAGGAGTACCGCTCGCCGTGGCCTTCAAGGAGGAGGGCAACTTCTCCTCAGACCTCCCTGAGCCCGAGAAGAAAGCCCTCGAAGAGCTTAAACAACTCCTCCAATCAGCAATCGCCAACCGCGAGTTTTCTCCTCCTTCAGAACCGACTCCACCGGTGACTGTATCTGCAGAGGCGAAACCAGAGGATTCCCCTGTTTCCGCTGATGACGACGGCGCGAAGACGGTCGAAGCCATAGCAGAGACCGTCGTCCCCGCTGCTGCACCGCCACCGGAAGAGGAAGAGAAGACGCCGCTCATATGGGGGATTCCTCTACTCGGGGATGAGAGGAGCGACACCGTTCTTATCAAATTCCTACGTGCGAGGGACTTCAAAGCCAAGGAAGCAATGGCAATGATCAAGAACACGGTAACTTGGAGGAGGGATTTTGGTATAGAAGGGCTCCTTGAAGAGGATCTCGACTTGGCGGAGATGGAGAAGGTCGTCTTCATGAGCGGCGTCGACCGCGAGGGCCATCCTGTTTGCTATAATGCTTATGGGGATTTCCAGAATAAGGATCTTTATGCGAAAGCATTCGCAGACGAGGAGAAGCAGAAGAAGTTTTTCCGTTGGAGGATCCAGTATTTGGAGAAGGGTATTCGTCAGCTTCTCGACTTCAGGCCAGGTGGCATCTCCACCATGGTTCAGGTTACTGATCTGAAGAACTCGCCCTGGCCGCTCAAGAGAGATTTTCCCCATGCTCTTGGGTTGCTCCTTGATAACTATCCAGAGTTCGTAAAAAAGCAGGTATTAAAGGATTCATTTTTTCTTTTTGTCATTCAATTGTTCCTCGCTTCAGAAGATTCTATCGAGATTAGTTATTACTGAAAGAAATAAAAAATTGATTGAAATTCTGTACCAGGTGTTTCTCAATGTGCCATGGTGGTATCTAGCTTTCAATAGGATGATCGGCCCCTTCCTAACACAGAGGACAAAGAGCAAGTTTGTGTTTGCCGGGCCATCAAAATCAGCTGAGATCCTCTTCAGGTCTCAGCATATCTTCTAAGTTCTTCCACCCTCATTTATTTTCTTATGATGATAATATCTTATTGATCTTCCATGGTTGCTTTATTTCAATATAGATACATAGCTCCAGAGCAAGCCCCAGTCCAATTCGGAGGCTTATATAGTGAGAATAACCCTGATTTCACCATTTCTGATGCTGTAACTGAAATCAATATTAAGCCTTCCACAAAGGAGATCATAGAAATCCCAGTTGCAGAGGTAAAGAGCTCTATTTAAAAAATAAATAAAATCTATAACCAAATTTGTACTATTTCTGTGATTATTTAGATTAAAGTTTCTTTTTTTTTTTGCAGCCATGCCTTCTGGTTTGGGAACTTCGAGTGTTGGGATGGGAAGTCTCTTACGGCGCAGAGTTTGTGCCGAATTCAAAGGAGAGCTACACAATCATTGTTCAGAAGGAAAGGAAGATGGCTGCCTCAGATGAGCTCGTGGTGAAGAACAGCTTCAGGGTTGGTGAGTCTGGGAAAATTATCTTCACAGTGGACAATTCTAGCAACAAGAGAAAGATGCTCCTCTATAGATATATTGGTAAAAAACTTTGAATTCCATCAGTTAAAAAACCGCCTTCTCGTTATGAAGAAGTCAAGCTTGGACTTTGGTTATTTGTTTTTCTTTTGATGTGGATGTCTCATCTGGTTGAACTATTAGCTTATTTTGCTTATTTTTTTGGAAGATTTCTGCAAGTTGGTGCTTATATATGTAAATGCTCTGTAGACACTTTGTCTATGTTTGGTTTATTTGACCGCTTTCACTGTCAATATCTAGTGATTGTTTCTTCAGTTCGGGAAATTTTGTTTGTTATTTTTTAAAGAATAATTGGGGGCAGAGCCCTTTTTCATTGACTATGAAAGGTAATCACAAAAAATTGGGGGTAAAAACCCAACTTTAAAGAAGGTAAAACATTACATAGAGCTGCAGCAAAAACTAGCAATGCTCAAGGAAAGAACTTAGGGAAGTTGAAAGACATTGCACAAGGTAACTATGATAAACCAAAACATAATGCAGAAAATTGGGCTCTGAATGGACTAATAAGGGCATCTCAAATCTAAAATCCCATTTTTCGCTCCAAAATGCAGTGAAACTAAAAAATACCGTGAATCATCTCCAATCGAATCTCATTTAGCTGGCTTTTGTGAAGGTAACAATCTTTCTCCTATTTGGCGTGTTTCTTTGGCAAATTTGGTTGAGACAAAAAAATGGCGTTCGTGAACAGTGCAACATCAATATTGGCATTGCACTGTTCAGATGCAAGCAAATAGCGGAAGATTTGACATTCGGGTGGAGCTATTGAACGACACCATAGATATATTTGACGTTCGGTTGGAGCGACCGAACGACACCATAGATGCTCTACGCAATGAAATGGAACAAACATATTCTCTTGATGAGCAAATCAACAATTTTTAAGCCACTAAGAAATGCCATCCAAGCATTGTGAATGTGCAAGTTGAGGAGATACAAAAGGAAAAATTGGTCTTGTACTTCTCAGCCACCCCATTAGTGTTCCCATGTGTGGCACAAAGTCTTGATTTTAAAAATGGGATGGTCTCGTTATCATCAAGGAAATCAAATACTCCCATGGTTATGCTCATCTCATGCATATCAATCAAAGTTATAGGGTTATTATTTAATCCTTTACGCACTTCTCCATTATAATGTCACGGAACTCCATGCCTTGTTCTGACTTGCATCGCGACACCACCTCTAGCTCAACCCCATCGGTTGTGTGACCCTCTGTCTTGACTCCTTCCTAGCTAAGGATAATTATTACGTGCGGCGTCTAGATTTGTTCGGAGGCAAATTCGGATGAGCCACCTCATTCAGGACCCGGTGCATCCGGGTAATTTGGCGCGTTCGGATTCGCCTCCAAACAATCCATACACTGCACATAATAATCTCTCCATAGCTAAAGGCTACGTGGTCTGCACGACTCACTTTGACCTCTACCTTATTAAGATTTGAGATCTGATTGAACTTGGGACCACTTTCTATCATTTTTAAGAGTTTAAAAAGATGGTCATTGATGAAATTTAATAAAAATACTATATTATATAAATATTAAAATTTAAAAATTAAAAAGGTAAATTTTGAATGACACGTGTGTAAATCCCCTCCTTTGTATCAGTATAAGCGTTTTATTTTGTGCATTTAGTCCGTACTAAGATGGTGTAAATATGAGATACTCACTTCTAAGAGTATAAATTTCATAAAGAAACTCATTTATTGCAAAAAAGACTAAAAAGTAAGAATACATTAATTACCCGTTTGCGTTGGCAATTGTTTCTTTTTGGGGAAATTTGGCAATTATTACAATAAAGATAAAAACTCTCAATCTCCCATTAAGGGAAATTATTCTTTGGAGAGTCTGGAGATCATTCAGAAGTCAATAAAAATGTTTCATGTCATCTTAAAAGTGTACTGCGCTCGATACTGAGAGCGGTACTGAGCATTGGTCACGTTCGATACTGCACTCGATACCAAGCGATACCGAATGATTCTCCCGTCCGGTTGTCCAATGTCCGCACAAAATCTCCATTAAGTTGTTTTCAGGAACTGAGAATTTTGAAGCAGAGATCATATTTCCATAAAATCATACCATGTTTTCCTTTAAAAAGAATTCTGATGTGGGTACAAATTAAATATTTTACAGTGTTGTTTTGCAATGGGTAGATTTGCAATTTTTTTTTTCATTCCAAATTTCCAATGGATTAGATCATTTTAGTAATATGTAAATATGATGCAGCGTGAACCTTACGTCGCCAAATTAATGGATAACTTGTGCCTTTGCTAGCAGACAAGTTCTTAAGGTATCACTTATTGTTAATTTCTATATGCATTTTGCCCCTTCAGTGATTTGCCCCTCCACAGTTAAATTTGTATTATGTGGTCTGTTGGATATGCTTGTATGTACTCCTTAAGCTGTTCCGCCTTGCACCCTAGTATTATTTATTGACCTTAATTATATGAGTTTGAGTTGACACATGAGTTCACTCATTTATAATTAAAATAATAATTATTATTATAATAAAATAATAAAAAAAGATAAATTAGAAGATCAATAATAAATAATCATTTGATATAAGAAATTGAGATATAATTTTTAAATATATTTGTAATAGTTTTATATTTAAATTCATGAATTTTGATATATTTTAAATGTATTTTATATTAAAAATATTTAAATGAGTCGGTTTACTTGCTAATGAGTTGAGTTAAGGTGATGCCGGCCCAAATTTGACTCATTAGCTCATCTTGTTCAGCTCATGAGCTATTTATCGAGATAAATTCGAGCTAGCTCATGAGTCAGCTTGACTCACTTGTATCTCAAATTTACGCTTTAAAAATAACTGTTTCAATTTTTTTTTTTTTTGAAAAAAAAAAAAATTTAAGTTGTGAATGTTGATAGCATTTCTAAAAAGAAAATATCTTTATGCCCGTTTTGGTTTATCTAATTTGAAAAATTTTATGTTTATCTTGCAAAAAAATTTGATATTGAACAACTACTTCACCTTATATTATGCTCCACATATTTATGTTATACTTCATGAATAAGCATATTATAAAAATATTGAACTTGTGTGGAAAATGCATCATTTTCCTTTTTTTTTTTCTTGATAGAAGCTTGATCAGAATTTTGCACTCAGAGCTTGAACGAGCACGAATTTTCTTTATAGAAGTTTGATCAGTTCACATGATTTTTTCGTTAGAATAGTACTAATAGGTCATCAAAAATTGCTTTGATGGAGCATTTATCTCGAGCATATTTAAGTTTAGAACTTTCAAAATTAAATGCATGACCATTTGAAATCTGGTTTTAGCAAACTTATAGTCAAATTGAATTACTCGAAGAGACGAACCCACCGACACCAAAATCGGTCCAATCCGAGCCCAGATGGGTCCAAATGGGGGCTCGAAGCTTATTTGGAAGGTTCAAAGCCTAAATTGGATGACCAAATGATATACAAATATGACATGCTTATAATCGAATCGAGCGGCTAGGCGAGAGAAATCCTACTTTAGACTTCATAATTTTGAATGTTTGCTTCTCCAAGGAAACTCTAAGCGGATAATCTTGATTTTTTGGTGAGAACTTGTCGATCTATGAATATTTTGAGAGAATATCTTCCAACAATTTGATAATTTATTCGGGCGAGTTTTTCGAGTGAATGAGCAAGATCATGTATCTCTTAGCTAAGTTCAACTAAATAACAATAAGGATTATACTAGAGATTGCTCGTAGGCTTTAGGGACTTTGTAACGGGTGAGACCCAATTTCAAGTGCCTCAACATATTTACAATCAAAAGCTTTCGGAACTTGATTTAGGACTGCATTGTGGCTCAATTAGACTTACGCAGGTGAATATTGGTATATATTTATTTCTCTCTCTTTTTTTTTTGTCCTTTCTTAAAGTTGTGAAGGAGAAAAATGATAGTTTAGGTCTATATGTGTAATTAAATGTTAAAGTATGCTTAATTTTGTTCAATAAAAATTTCAAACAACACTTGCACCTTATTCAAATATGCTTTGATCCTCAATCAAATCATGTTTGAATTTTTATTAGAATTCATTTCGTTAATCTTTTGAATTCCTATATATATAAAGCTAATTTTAAAGATACTTAAAAAGAGAAAAATTATTGAAAAAATATTCCTCATTTTATGATTGATTATTTATTCATTTTCTCCCCTCTCAAGTATATAGATTATTATCTTTTATATCAATGTCCTATAATGTCAACTCATATATTATGGATACAATAATTTGAAATAGTAGGAAAAATTATTAGGCGCGGAGTGCCCACCGTCCGCACAAGTACTGAGTACCTAGCGGTACCTAGCAGTACCGAGTGCGGGTATTGATATATACCCAATATTTATGCAGACGGTTCTCTTTATCTGCACTCCGCACTTAATAATCTCTGGAAATATAATAGAGGGGGGATTTGAAAAAAGTCCTCGGTAAGCATAATGGCATCCTATGTTTTTTTTTCAACTTTTTTCGGGAAGTGGGAGCATCCAATGTCAATACAATACAGGAGGGAGGTCCACGACAGGAATCTGTGCTTCTTTGTCGAGATAACGCGCCGTCAGATTTCCAAGTTTTTGGAACGGATGAAGTAAAAATCTTTACAGAATCTGACGGTAAAAATATTCTAAATTAAATTTATTTTAATTCAAACTAAATAATTTTCTTTAAAAGATTATAAGTATATTAAATAAATTTATTAAGTTCTTTTATTCTTTTAATAAATTACTTCAGTGTTAAAATCTTATTAATATTAGAAAAATATTGTGTCAAAATAATCATTTTTTTGATAAATTGCATTGAATTTTTAAAGTACTTTTAATAGAAAATAATCACTTATTAGTCTAAATATAAAATTTTCAATGAAGTTTTTCTCTCCAAGAGCAATTAGAATAGTATAAGCTTTTATTTGGAACAATTTTTTTATTATTTTCTAAGGTAAATTTTTAGTGCAAAAATTTCTAGTTCAAAAAATTTTTGTACTAAAAAATAATTTTAGAAATCAAGAAGAAAATTGTCCACAATGAAACCTAAATCGAAAAAGTTATAGCATATCTAAAATGCATCATAGTATTTTTTTTAAATGGTATTGTGCTGCGGGCTAGAATATAAGAGAATATAGAGTTTGAAATTTCGTCTAAGCGTTGTATGTATATTCAACACACAAACAGAAGAAAAATGAAACACAAGAATTTTTTAAATGGAAAATCCTGAAAAAATGGAAAAACTACA